GCGGGGGCGGGCCGGGGGAGGAGCCGCAGCACGCCTGCTCGGTGGGCATCACCCGGGCCCTGCCGCGGACCTCATGGGGTGGGCAAGCAACAACGGGGACAGAGGAAAGCCTTGCAAAGAGCCCGTCAGTGACACCGGGGCCTCGGCAGGACAAGCGCGCCAGCCCCAGCCCTGCAGCAACGGTCTCTGGGCCAGCACGCAGCCAATGGAAGGAGCCTGTTAGCTCCTCCGGGCCGCCGCTTGGGAGGGAGGCCTGCCCCAACAACAGACACCGCGCTTCCGCCAGCGACCAGCCAAACAATCCCTAAGAAAACCAGCCCCATCGGCTGCACTGTCTCAGTGAACGCACAGCATTTAAGCGGAGCGTGCCCCAAGTCTCATGACACTACGTGCTCTTCCCAGAGCCCCCGTTTGCGGAGATGCAGAAATGCGTAACAATCTCAGCGCTCGTTTTGAGGCCGGAAGCCAGCCGGTACCCCTCCAGGACCAAATCACATCTCAGAGACCAAAAGACAGCTAAACAGAACTTAGGCCTACTTGTATATTCTTTAGAAAGCTTAGTATTTTAAAAATCAGTCCCTTAAATTACACAGCAGGTAAAGCCAAACACACTTCTGTATCAGAAATGCATATCTTTAAGAAAAAAGATGCTCGTTTCCACTCTATTTTTAGGGCAGAAAAGCTGCTCCGCTCGCAGCCAGCCTGCGTTCCTTGCGACACCGCCGGACCTTCTCAGCGCGGTTCTGCTCCGGCCACTGCTTCAGCCCCTGGCGCTGGCAGCGAGCTCGCTGAGTGGTTTTGTTCTGCAGCTCGTGTAGTCGCCTTCAGAGGGAAGTCAGGGGTCTTTTCATTTGTCTGCACTTCATGTTTTTTTGAAAACCGATAGTCATCGGTTTGAATAAAAGGTTTTGAGCCCCTTTGGATGGTGCTTCAGCATGCAAGAGGGACTTGCATGTTTTAAAGCTTCTTTCCAACTCGGTTTAAACAAAGCACCTCAACACGGCTTCATTAACAAAAAGCCATGAAACCGAAGTGCAAACACAGCCCTGAGCTGCCTTTCCTATCCGATCTAGTTGTCAGACAGCTTCCTCAATTTATGCCTGCCCTTCCTTTGAGCGAGCTAGCTGTCGGCGTGCTCCGAGCTTCCTACTGTTTATCCATCCTTCTGGCTTCTCTCTGCTTTTATATAGCACCTTTCACCACAGCAGCCAAGAACTGTACAAAATCCAGAAGTTTTTACTCTGCGGTAACACTACGTGAAAAAAACGATGACACTAAGTAGGCTGTGAAAACCCAGCCCAGCTCTCCACCTGCCCCCAGGTCTACAGGCTCCTGCCAGGCTCCCCCAAGGACGGCCATCAGCACCTTCTGCCCGGGGACGTGGGCAGGGGCCAAAGCCCCGGTGCCAACCTCCGCGTTCGGAAGCCAAGACCTCCAAGAGACACAGAATGAAAAAAAAAATCCACGTATACTTCGCATTTCTCTCGCCAGTTTACTCTCCAAGCCTTAGTTCGCGTTCTCTAGCCTTTCCCTCGGCAACCATTAGCACGAGAATATTACCTTCCTTTCTTAAATAACGCTGGGAGATTCCCACAGAGTCATTAGTTTCAGGGAGCTGCGGCTTGGGGAAAACACGAGGACGCTCGCAGGGAAACCGGGACAGCTGGCAACGCCACAGCGGCAGCATCACCCCCTCGTAATAGTAGCGACTTAAAACGCATCGGTGCTTACATATTCGTTCTTCCAGTGGCAGGGCAGTTGGCGTCGTGCCTGCCGCGTGGGCAGCCTCCGCTGGGCATTCCTCCAGCGGGCAGCGCTGGTCGTCCATCCGGTTGCTCTGGAACTTGCTCAGCAGGTCAAAGAAGCATTCCTCGTCCGAAGGGGTCCGGCTGATTTTCTGGAAAGACAATAAACCGCAGAAGAGTCAAGACACCCCCAAACAACTCCCTGCGTCCGACGGCCCGGGCCCGGTCC